ATGGATTTTAAAGGAACGTTTTTTTGTGTGTTTTTTTTTACCTTTTTATATTTTTCAGATATACATCACACAATGTGGTCTTCATTTATGTCTAAGGCCTATATTAGAATATTCTGAAATATATCTAAAATAACGTATTAAACATATTAAATAACACCGCAGGATGCACCGCATTTGGAATATCTGTGGCATTCTTGTCACTTTCGCTGGCATTTGTACATTTGCTCAATTCTAGCCAGTTTATCGTGGAAATGTTTAGTTGGAATTGAAATTATTGGTAGTTGTGAAACAGAATATGTGCACTGAAATGCTATGAGTTAATGGATAATCAATAAACATGTCAAACGCTAGAATAACACTGATCTCAAGCTACAGCTGGCTGCGGATTATCATAATAGCAATGCGTGAGAATTTCATTTGAAATAGAAAGGGGAATCAGACTAGCCCATCCAATCTGACAAAGACAAGATAATTTAAGAATATATATATATTATATATATACTGTATATACAGTATACTGGCCATTCTCATTATTTTTGACAGTAACAGAACATGGCAGACTATTGAAAAAGGTGCTGATGTGAAACTGCTGAGAGCTATATCTTTGAGAGATGTGAGATGAATCTTTGAATCAAGAAACCTGTGTCATGGGCACGTAAGTTGAAATGAACAGTAGAAGTCTGAGGCCTGTTTCACACGGCACGCACAAGCATGAGCAAAACAACAGCAGGATCACGCCGACTGCATTTCTGCTGCGGCAGCTCTACAAAACAAACAGGCTAACATCTCAGTTACTGCGTTGAACGTCTCTAATAATACATTATAAAATGGTCATCGAGACTATGCTATCTTGAAATCTCTTTTACATGAGGAGGGGGACCATATTTATCCATGTAGTTATTCGGAATAGAGGTATAGATGGGATCAGATGATTGGTAGACAGAGTTGGCGCGGGACAAGTTTTGAATTGCTGAGTGTGGATGCGGAAGGAAAGATACTGATTTGTGCGTGGGAACTCGTGGGCTATAATTATCTAATAATAACAGCACGCAGAAGTCTGTCACTGGGAATCTGAAGCGTTGTGTATGTGGAAATTGGGACAAAAAAAAAACAGCCTTTAGAAATCAGCGTAGACCTCTTCCTATGGGCTTTTGCGGGAGGGAACGTTTTGGCCAGGAGTGGGATAAAATCGAACATATTTTTGCTGGGAGCGGTACATAATCTTGCAAGATAAAAAAAAATAAAAATCCTCTAATATGGAAAACAAACACCAAACTGTAACTAATAACAGTATGGATTCAGTCAGATTTACTGAATAGACAATGCTGTTTGTGTCACCTTGTTTGTCACTTTAAATAAAAAAGTGAGAAGTTTGTTCCATATTATATGTTGATTTAAAAAAATCTACATTACATAAGATTGTGTTGATAAAAAAGTTTAAATGGCATTTTTACTGTATTTTTGGGCAGGTGTGGATACTGTAACCTATTAGATTTGTGGGGATTTTGCACTGCTTTTGCATGGAGTATGAAAGAGGCATTGTTTCTAGTGATCAGTCCAAAATGAATGTGTGAATGCTACTATACGCAGCACAATAACAGTCATTTTTTTATGTTTACTGTAAACCACTGCTAGTGTAAATGCCCCTTAAATGGAAGAGAACTTTTAACGCATAGGCCTACTCTTTTATCGCATTGTGGCTTGCTAAGATATGGTGTAACTCTTTAACCATAAGCACAACATTTAGTAACAGGCATTATAATCAGAATGCCATTAATATCATTGCTGACTTTCCAATTGAATCAAATCATCTATATTGATTTCCCTTGTGAAGAAGTACACTTTTGCATACTTTAAAAAAAGCGTACTTATTACGGAAGTATATACTGAAAAATAACTGAAGGTAATGTTTGCAGTTTAATTTGCTTAATTTAAAGAAGGTAATTTACAATTAAATAATAAAAAAAAAGTTTAAGTTTGAACTGATATTTAGTATACAAGTGTTTAACTGATAGTTAGGCAAACATAAGAGTGCCTTTATGACCCACTTAAGTGCATCTTTAAATGTAATTTCATAATTACTTCCATTGTCTTTAAAATACGTATATCTTGAAATATAAGTGTACTGCCGAATGAATAAAATATACTTTAATTTCCATTGAAACCTGTGTCATGTATTTTAGTACAGTGTCATTTGTGTACAATAGCCTATATATCAACTTTAAATATATGATCAAATAACACACTGCAGATACAATATAATCAAGTACTTTACGTGTGTTAGTCAACATTAAAAGTGTTTTTTAAAAGCATGACAAACGTGTATTAAAACATAATGATTTAAAGTCAAACAGTTCAAATTTGCCATTATTAAAAAGTGCACTTAAAAGTGTACTTAAGAAACATAGTCATGAAGGTACAATTAAACGGCCTTTTATATTGTTACCAAGTACAGTGTGTGTGTATATATATATTTACACACACACACACACACACACACACACACACACACACACACACACACACACACACACACACACACACACACACACACACACACACACACACACACACACACACACACACACACACACACACACATACTTTTAAGATTTAAAGCACAAGTGCACACTGATTAAGCACACTTTTTCACAAGGGCTCTCTGTCTGGCAACCATAAAAATGTCTTTTAGCCAAGCCTATGGCAGGTACTGTACTTCCTGGTAAAAATGGCAGTGAGTTTGTGCTTTAGATGATTGTGCTCATGTGTTACATATAACAGCTCAACTTTAACTTCCACAATGAGCTCTTTTCCCATTATCTTATTTATGATATAAATATTAACATATATAATTAATCCAATGGATTTCAAACACTTTAATTTTAGCTGTCTTGAGTGCTCAAAGAATAATCTCTTACAGTTTACAAGTGCAATTCATATAAAAGACGTTGCATTATCATGTTATTTACAAGTGATTTGCAATGCTAATATTTTACAGTACAGTTAGTGTTTGGAATAAAGCAGAAAACCTGTGCATTGCAATAAAATAAGTACCCAGATAATAAATAATATATATTCTATTTAACATGCTATTCTCTCTGCCCTTTAATTATATATAAATAGACTTCTTGATATGGGAATGAGAGGCTGGAGGCTACATTTTGATTAGCACCCAATGTATCTTAGTTTATATTTGAATTCAAAAGGCTACTTTGAGAAAAGAAAGTTTGCAAGCCATGCCTGTCATTTACACCCCAAAAATTCGAAATCAAATTTCATCACAAGCGTGCATCTGGAGTCCATCACACTTCACACAGTGAGGTTACAGCAATATTACTATATATGGTAATACATTTAGGGTATTGTCTAAAAGCAGAGAAAATAAATGTGATGTTTTAATTGATTTTTTAATGAAATAAAGAAATAAATAGATATTTTTCCTAGTTAACAATAAATGCTCAGCACAGGAAATGGAATGCTAATCAAAAGGTCCGCATCTTATACATTATATCTGTGAGGATTTACCTCTCTTTTAACATCCAGTCACATTTTTGACTATATAACATTAAAAACATTTTTTTAGGTAAACTTAGGTTAAGGCTGTTCATCACAGGCAGTTAAGGTATAATATATAGGAAATTAGCGGGGGGGAAAGAATGGAAAATAAATTGTGCAAGAGGCAAATCATTTATTCCTTTTTCCATAATTATCAGATGTAATTAACATTGGTATCAGTTATTTGAATATAAATGTATGGTATTGATATAAATGTGTAGCTATTACTCTATATACCCCTTACACTGAAGTCTCGTTTGGAAATAAATAAAGCGCAATAGCAGCAAGTTATGATGCTTATATTGGTTTCCAAATTCCTTTCAAAACCTTGCAAAATGATTAAGTTAAACTAAACTTTAAATAGAATTAAAGATAAATGATTAAAAATATAAAGGCTATCTAAGCTGCTTGGTATTGATGTGTCTAAAAACAGGATGTTTATTAAGGACTGTTTTCATTATTAACCATTACATACACCAATACGTTTCCACTGAATTATCATCAGCTATATATAGGTCTCATTATGTCTAACAGTCCTTCCGGGAACATATCATCAAAGCCATCCATTTCTCAAATTCGCTCAGTATTGTTATTGATGGAATGAATACAGCAGCAAAAATGTCTTCTGCAAAAAAGATTGCACAACCCTAAACTATGTCCGCGTTGTCCGGGGTGTGTGATTGCTTTCAGAATATATCCCTAATATCGTATTTCTTTTCCTGTCAAATGGTTTTTCCAAACATTCAGTATTTAACCTTTGACCTCAAGAGTAAGCCATCATCCACTCCCATTTGGAATATCATGTTTAAATCAATATGTTTCAGGCAGCAGTTTCAAAGCCTTTATGTCATGCTATTGAGTGTCCACCCACATCCCTTTTATGTCGTGACCAAATGTGAAGAGGTCTTTACTGCCACTGATTGTGGCTTAGCTGAGGTACGAAAATGGAACGTGGAGAATCCGAAAAAGGGGAAAACACATTTGGCTCCATGGTCTCCTGTGCTTCTCAGAGTGTTGAAATGGAAACCCACTCACACGTCCGCCAGGGCAGTGGCTATTCTTAGAAAGGGCACAGTTGGGACCACATGCATTATTTATGAGGTGGATACACATTCATCTTTCAACCTCTGGGCCACCTCAACTCAATCGCTGTGCAACTAACATACCGAGGGTCAAAAATTCAGTTGTAACAAACGCACAATTACACACACATTTGTGTAGCTCAGCAGGGGAGAACGAAACCAAAGAGACAAGTGGCTGAGTGTCTTTCGGAAACACTTGCGTCTCTCTGGAACTCAAAAATGCAGGTGTTTACAAGTAAACAATTAGCATTCAAGCAGACGAAGCGGTCGATCGGGTCATCGACCGACATTGACCAGAAAGTCAGAGGCAGTAGTAGTGTGGTGCGTACTAGCAATAGTAGTTGTAGTAGTGAACACGTACATTATTGTAGCTTGCGCTTAAGGTTTGAAAACGGTTGAAACCCGCCATCCCTCAAAGACGGTATTTGCGCAGGAGGTCGACCTGCCACGTGTACTTGCGCTCGGGAAAATGCGCAGGAATCTTGATCTTGCGGAAGTCCTTGATGCATTTGTCCAGTTCCTCTTCCACAGTCAACTTTTCTTTCGCCGGCCGTTTCTTGCAGGTGCTGGTGTCCCGGGAACTTGCGGTGAGCGTCCGGAGAAGGTCGCTCTTGCGGCGCTGCTCGGACTGCTGCTGCTGCAGGAGATGCTGAACGGGGCCTTTCTTTGGAGGCCTGTCCAATGTTTGAACGTGCGTCTGCCGGCTGACCGGGCCACGGATGACGGTGCCTTGCGGGGAGCTGGCCTCGGAGTGGCTCTCCGAGCTGGAGGTGGAGAGCTCGTTGAATGAGGTTCCACTCTCACCTTCGCCTTCACCTTTGTGACCCTTGCAGCAGCAGTCGCAAGGTGGAGATGACCAGCGAGAATGGCCACCTGGAAAAGAGAAGTGAAGAGTTCAAACAATGCCTGAAGGTATTTGTTTTCAGGGAGACTATGGGTGTGTTTACATGCACATTCTTAAGCCGATTACCTTAATGGCCCGGTTTCACAGACAGGGCTTAGATTAGGCCAGGATTAGGCCTTAGTTCATTTAAGACATTTTTTAAATATGCCTTAGAAAAAACATTACTAGTGTGCATCTTGAGACAAAAAAATGGCACTGACATATTTTAAGATATATCAGTGCAAGTTGCTTTCAGTTAAAACAGCTCAAACATGCATTTTAGTCTAAGACTTGGCTCATACCTTGTCTGTGAAACCAAGAGAATATGCTGACAATGCATGGAGTCAATGCATTAACCTGTTTTCCTTTATCAGAGTAAGCTCATAAACTACTTGAGTATAAACCGATCGACACAACTAGATTATTGCCCATTACTCTGATTTTGCTCAGCATGTAAACACCTTAACATGCATTGTAATCTACTTACTGAACTGTTATGTCTGACTATGTCAAGTCAAATCAAGTCAAGTCACCTTTATTTACTGTATATAGTGCTTTATACATGATTGTTTCAAAGCAGCTTCACAGTACAGACAGGGATGGGCATTATTTCAGATACATTCATTTAAAAGACAAAATGCTATTTTATATTTTAAAATATATACGTACAGGTTTAGTATTTTTGAATTTTCAAAATACATAAAATACTTTGTGCCAGTCACCCTCTTTATTAGGTTGCTGATTTCCTGCAACAACTAGTTCAGGCCTTCCAATGCCAACGTTCATGCACATGAGCTGCAGCTGCTGTACGACTCCATATAGCGTTGGGTGAGCGAATTTAATAAGGAATAAGACAAGGTGAGGATGTCTACTTATTAAGGTTTAAATGGAACAAAATTCAGATTTGCCTTCAGTTAACATGAAGGAATAATAGAGCAATGGAAAGGGGAAAAATAAAATAGAGTTAGCCAGTCGGTCTTGATAATCAGTTGTGGATTTTATCATCTAGCTAGAGAAGCATTATTGCTTGCAAATAAAATGTGGATATAAAATGTGAATTGATTTAACTTTTTCTATATCGCCGTATGGAAATATGTTCTTGCAGCTTTTAGTGGGCAGGAGTTATTGACATGTTGGAGCGTTAAAAGGAACATGGATGAATGAGTAATAAAGAGCTGGATGTGTCTGATGTAAAAATAAAAAAGTTAGTCATTAAAAGTTATTAATTTACTTGTCGTCAGCAGGGGGGTTGAGCCAAAAATGAAAATAAATCAGCAAGCAGTTTTTTTTAAAGAAAACAAACTCAACACGTCTCAGATGCTCTGAACACAAAAACTCGGCAAACAGAACAACTGCTTATTAAAGACGAGATCTGACAACGAACAGAACAAACACAGGGCTATACAAAAGCAGACTAATGAATGGAAATGAGAAACAGGTGTAGCAACTTAATCAACCAATGAATCACCATAGAAACAAATGCAAGCATAGGAAACAGAACAGACAACAGTCCAAAACCAACTCAAAGTCCAACTGAAGCAAAACAAACACAGACCAGACATGACACTTGTCTTAATTACTTTAGAACTTTTTTACTTATAGTTAGCCTAGCATTAGTTTTTCTGGTATTGAGAATAGTAAAATTTCACTGGTATCTAAATGTTTGGTTGATGAAGGCTTGTTATGTGGATGAAGGATGAACCCAATAGCAGACAGCAAATGATTCTCAGAGGGTTTATTAATGGACAAAAACAGAAAACAAAAACCCACGATGGGGCAAAACAAGGCAGGACAAGACTAATACTCAGACAGTAAACTCACAGCTACGACAGGAACAGACACTTCTTGAAGACAGGACTCTCAACAGGTTACGCACAGCTTGATACAGGTTACGCACAGCTTGATACATATACGCACAGCTTGATACATATACGCACAGCTTGATACATATACGCACAGCTTGATACATATACGCACAGCTTGATACATATACGCACAGCTTGATACATATACGCACAGCTTGATACATATACGCACAGCTTGATACATATACGCACAGCTTGATACATATACGCACAGCTTGATACATATACGCACAGCTTGATACATATACGCACAGCTTGATACATATACGCACAGCTTGATACATATACGCACAGCTTGATACATACACGCACAGCTTGATACATACACGCACAGCTTGATACATACACGCACAGCTTGATACATACACGCACAGCTTGATACATACACGCACAGCTTGATACATACACGCACAGCTTGATACATACACGCACAGCTTGATACATACACGCACAGCTTGATACATACACGCACAGCTTGATACATACACGCACAACATACGACAATGTCAAACAATGAACCGACACAGGACAGCAAACAAAAGGGGTTTATATAGGGAACACTAATGACGAGGACAGGTGAAACTGACTAGACAATAATGACAAGACGAGGGTAACAAGGGGGCGGAGTTACATAACGAGACAACACAAACACATGGCCCAAACAACAGACCATGCGCTTGAACACAAAACATGGGTCTGTCATGATCCAGCCTCAAGACTAGGGGAAATCAAGGAAAAGAAGGTCGGATCATGACACCTTATTTCCAGAAAAAAAGAGTATATGATAATATATATATATTTTTACTATGAAAAATACTCATATTGTGATGTAATTTTGGTAATATTGCCCATCCCTACTCATTGCTAGATAGCAGGAAAAGTTCCCAGAGTTTTAGATGTGATTTATTTAGTAGTGATCGCCACAAGTAATAGGCTAATAGTGATATTAACTTTTAGCCTGAATGGACAATTTCACATCTATATTGTGTATTTTCAAAATCTGTATGTAAATACATTTTCCCACACAATGCTCCTGAGGATTCAGCTACTAAATCTTGTCACCACCAGTGCAGAGCTGCTCAATATTGGCAGCAGGTGCGAGTGATGCATCTGCACGCACAGTGAGGCCAAGACCTATGGACAACGGCCTGGTGCCAAGAAGGGCCGCAAAGAAGCCACTTCTCTCCAAGACAAACAACACGGACAGACTGAAATTCTGCAGGAACTACAAGGATTGTACAGCTGATGAAGCCCCCTTATGTCTTTTTTGGATATCTGGAAAATTGACTGTCCGGAGAAGAAAAGGTGAACGCTACCATGAGTCCTGTGTCGGACCGCATCCTGAGACCGTCCAAGTATGGGGTTGCTTTTCATCCAAGGGAATGGGGTCTCTAACAATTCTGCTCAAAACACTGCCGTGGATAAAGAAGGGTATTAAAACGTCCTGCAAGAGCAACTCCTCCCAATGATCCAAGATCAATTAGTGTTGATCTGTGCATTTTCCATCATGATGGAGCAGTATGTCACAATCATTACATTGAAATTTTGGATCCGTGGCCAGACAACTGCCCGGATCTTAATCCCATAGAGAACCTGTGTTCAATCTTTAAAAGGCGAGTGGACAATCAGGAGTCTACAAACTGTGATCAACTCCGAGCACTAACAAGGCAAGAACGGATCACCATCAGTCAGGATTCGGCCTAAGCTGATATCCAGCATGCCAGAGCCAATTGCAGAGGTTAGAAAGAAGATTGCTAGATACTGCAAGTATTGACTTGTTTTGGCCAATAAAAGCCTTTAAAACTTATGAAAAAGACCACAGAAACATGTAAAAAATATTGAAGCAGCAAACTTTGCAAAACAAAATTTATGTAACTGCCAATACTTTTGTCCACGGCTGTATTAAACAGGAAAATGATGCAAACCTAATCAAATATGAGTCACATTTCAATTCTGCTGTAAAGCAGCTCTAAAAAAGTGACATTATTCAGCTCAAGTCAGTTGAGAATTTGTTCAGTTCAGATCAAGAACTGTATAAAGTTCATCAATGAATGAGTTCAATTCAGCTATAAGCATCTCTACATAAGACAACAGTGTCGTTATTCAGCTCTAGTCAGTGCACTGTTGATTCAGTTCAGTTCGATAACAGTGTCTGAACAAATTCTATTCAGCTATGTGACAGAAAAGTGTTCTTACTGCAGATTTAAGTGCATTCAGCCAGTGTTTCACGATAGGGGAAGAGAAAATACACACACTTAGACTCTTTCTCGATTTAAGAAATAATAAAAAACGTGTTTTCATCTTGTGCAGCCTAAGTAACTGCATGAGAGGAGAGTTTCCTGCTGACATTTTGGAATACTATGGAGTTTATAATGTTTTAATTAATATAACAACCCACATGACAAATGAAATACAGTACTTACGGTTTGATGTCACCACGGGGAATAACCTGATTTTCATTGGTCTTGTAAACTTGTTTTACTTGTGTTGCCAGGTTATTGGTTTGCATGTTAGCTGGGACAACATGTTGATTAAAATAAGCTGATTTTTGAGAGTTATCAATGCTCAATGTTTAGTACTGCTTACTGTGCCGTACATGTTGTACTGCTGCCCACTGTTTTTGAGAAATAGTTTGCATTCTGTAAGCAATAATAAATGTTGGCAGAAGCAGGAAGTGAGCCACAGTTTTGAGCGCAGCAACAATATGACCGTGTTGCGGTCGATGTGCCTGCCCGTCTGATCAATGCAAGGTCACAGCATACAATTAAATACCTGTTACCAAATTCATTTCCATCTTTTTATATTTTCTTCAGTTTTAATTAAAATAAATTTTTCTTCGAGCAGATATGAGATGGGAATAGGGCGAAGAATGGGTTTGGAAAAAGGCCAATTGGAACTTGGCTAAATCCACCATCCGTTCTCTCCGAGCCTGCTCCTGTTTCTAACAGTATACGCTGTTGTCACGTTAACTCAACAATTCAGTTATTCTGGAAATAGTGTTACAGTATGTCTGAAAACCCATGCGGTGAAAGCATTGATCATCTTAGCATTAGTACAAGAAGGCTTAATCCACAAAAGCATCCCATGTCAACTACAAAGCACTACAACCAGGAGTGCGAGACAGA